CTCTCTCTCTCTCTCTCTCTCTCTCTCTCTCTCTCTCCCCATTTCCAAGGGGGAACGTGTTATGTTCTTATTTGGAAAAAAACCAAAGCCATCATTTCATTAAAAGCAATATGTATATAAAACTGAGAAAGCAAGCTAAGAATTATCTACGCGGTCCCTCACAGCAAATTTTCTCCATCTCCATAATGTAATGAATACAAAGGCCGTGTTAAAATTCATCATTTGGTTTGCTTTGTCCTCCGCTTACGTGTAAGATTCATGGTATCCATTTATCATAGAATCTCATGGCAGGCATCGGAATTAAAATCAACCTCAGCCGTGTAGGAAGGCCCCAGTGAAGGAACCACGACAAAGAGCCAGCTGAGTGTCCCGAGTTAGTTCTCCTGTTGCATGTCGTTGCTCTGTTCAGCAGGATTTGCCACATGTGAGAGCTAAGGTCTAGCAAAGGCTCTTCCTGCTGAGAAAATCATCCTCAGATCAAATAGCGCATCTAAATACTTGCTGATTTTTTCCTGCTGAATTTACGGGTAATGAGTGCGAGTGGGTATGGTGTGTAAAGTGGCAGGTTGCTAACCGAAAAGTCAGCAGTTCAACTCCACCACTCGCTCTGTGGAAGGAAGAGGAGCTGTTTCCTTCTATAAAGATTTACAGCCTGAGAAATGCTAACAGAGGGTCATTCCACGAGCGAATTAGAATCGAGCGAATTAGAATCGACTTGATGGCAGTGGGGTGTGGTTGTTTTCTGGGAGGAGGGGTGTTCCTGTCATTCATTGTTGCACTTTTCTCCCTTCTCCCTCCCTCCCCCTCAATTCACTCTTCTCCTTGAAAAGTAAAAGAAAAACTTTCATTGCTATGCAGTCCCTCCCAAGTCCACTCCACTATGCAGCCTTCACTCTGGACTCCTGTAATGACAAGATTACCCAATCATATATCTCTTTTAAACAGCTCTCTCCCTCATCTGTTTTAAATGCAGTATACATCATTCCTCCCCTTCTTCTCTGTCTTCCCTCAACCCCTATGTCAGTCCTATTTTACAATAGTGGCCCTATGCAATAGTTGTCCTTTTGTGACTGAGATATTTCACTCAGCATAACGTCCTCCGGGGTCATCCACTTAGCATAGTATTTCATGAGATCCTTCTTTTTCAATGCTGCATAGTATTCCATTTTCTGAATATACTAGAGCTTCTCTGTCCATTCATTTGTTGATGGGCACTTCAGTTTTTTCCAGCGCTTTGCTATTGTGAACAAAGCGGCAATAAACATGGGTGTGCATTTATCTACTTGGGTGGCAGTTATGGTTTCTTTAGGGTATAGTCCCAGCAGAGGAATTTCTGGGTCAAATGGTATTTCTATTTGCAACCTTCTGAGAAAGTGCCATACAGCCTTCCATAGTGGTTGAACCATTTTATATTCCCACCAACAGTGAATAAGGGTTCCAGTTTCTCTGCAACCTCACCAGCATTTGTTGTTTGCTGCTCTGTTAAGCTTTGCTATTCTTACCGGGGCGAGATGATATCTCATAGCTGTGACAGCAGTGGTTTAATAGATGGGTTCGAGTCTTAGTGGTACAGTGGTTAGAGTAGTGTACACTAAAAGGTCTGCTGTCTGAACCCACGAGCCACTCCATGTGATAGAGACGGCAATTAGCTGCCATCCAACTTGGAGCTTGGGAAATGCTAAGAGGCAATTCTTCTGGGTCCTGGAGGGATAGTAGGGCATTTGATTTTTGGATGCCGAAAAAAACGGCTTCTCCAGACAAGCTAAACTAGGCTGAAAAAAAATGCATGTTATCATTTATACAAGTATTACTGAAAGCCAAGATACCAGGAAAAAGTTGACTCCAGATCAGAGGTCTCGCAAAACCTTAAAGAAAGGCTGTTTGGCTTCCATCAGCCTCTAAGACCAAATATATTTCCCTCCTTCATAGAAGCTTATTGTAGAAGTCATTTAACACATATTTGAAGAGAGTCGCAGGCGACTCGACGGCACATAACAACAACATTATAAGAAGAAAGAAGGTACCACTTTGTAAGCATTTTGGAAGTATATGAGATTATTAAGGGAGCCCTGGTGGCCTCGTCTGTAGGGAGCTGCTCTGCCAACCCAAAGGTCCCACCTCTCTGGTGGTTCAAATCCACCAGTGGCTCCAAGGGAGAAAGATAAGCAATCTCCTCCTGTGCAATTTATAACCTCCAAAACCCTCTGAAGGATCAGCTATGTGTTTGCTGCAATTTTATGGCAATGAAGGGGGGTTTGAGTTAAGATTGTTGTTATGTGCAATTGAGTCGCTTGCAACTCATAGCGACCCTACGTACAAGAGCCTTACACGCTGTTCTATCCTACACCAACCTCGCCGTCTCCGACATACTCACTCCCACCACCCCAATCACAGAGTGATCCATCTCAACAAGGGTCGAGTTAAGATGATTAATGAATTAATTCTGAACCAAGACTTCAAAGATCTACCTCTAGAGCTTATTGTGACACTAGCTCAAGCTGTAGCCCTGGAAACAAGTCACTCCCTCTCCCTGGGTCTGATGGTCCTTATTTATTAAAAGAAATACCCAATGTTGTTGTTGTTTGGTGCCGTTGAGTCAAGTATGACTCATGGCAACCCCATGGACAACAGATCTGAACGCTCTCCTATCCCGTGCCATCATCTAGAAGCGATCTATAACGGGAAGTTAAAACCACTGGTCACAGATGGACTTCTTCACACAAAGATGATCACATGGGGTCTCAACCCATATCCACAATTACAAATATCGTATCTTAGCAGCCAAAATATTACCTAAATAGTATGCAATAGAGTAAATGTTGAAAAACTTCTTTTAAAAATATGATGCCCCCAAAAAAGTAAAAAAAAATATGATGCCTAATTCGATCATTATATATAACAAGTGATGTTACCTCCAATTTCACAAGCATTTAGAACTTCTAATTGTGTCATTATTTCTTCTTCACTTGCTTGAATTTGATCAAGAAAATCTTCAGTCGTATACTGAAACAAGGAAAAAAAAGGCATTTTCAAGGGCTTTGAAGAATAATGCCTTTAAGATCTCTTCGGGAATAAATATGTAGAATAGATTAAAACAGTAATAGCCCAGTAGCTAAGTTTACTTTCTTAATGCATCAACATTTGCTACACTGAGAACTAGAGTGCATACTTTGATTTCAGAGCAATTTTGATCACTGGTAGAGTAGCCTGAAGGGAACTGGGTTGCAGCTCTGAGCTGGCTCGAATCCACCAGGGGCCTTGAGGCAGAAGCTGGACCATCTCCTCCTGTGCCATCTCTAGTCTCTGAAAATCTGCTGGACAGTCAGCTATGAGTTGGCTCCACGTGGGTAGCAATATGTTTTATAAAAATAGAAACACAAAGAAAACATAGTGGCATGTCTCCATTACTTTGAATTTGGCAAACACATGTCCATGACTTTGAATTTGGCAAACACATGTTGGATATGACACCAAAAGCACAAGCAATAAAGGGAAAAATAAATAAAATGGGCTTCATCAACACAAAAATGTTTGTTGTGCATCAAAAACCATTAAGTAAATGAAAAGAAAACCCACAGAATGGGAGAAAATGTTTGTATATCACATATCTAGGAGGGAGTTACAGCAAGACTACATAAGGAACTCTTATAACTCAATACTAAATAGACAAATAATCCAACGAAATATTGGCAAAGGATATATACATACATACATACATGAGTGTGTGTGTGTATATATATATATGTATATATAAACTGGCAAAAGAAATATCCTTTTTTTAATTAAGTTTTAATGAAAGTTTATAGACACTTTGGGTTTCCATTCATTCATTGTTACACATTTTTCTCCCGTGAAAAGTAAAAAAAAAACCCAACAAAAAATACCAACTTTCATTATACAATTCCCCCCCTCCCGCCCCCGAGTCCACTCCTGATGAAACTCTCGTTCTGTACTCTTGTCATGAAAATAATCCCTAATCATATATTTTTTCAAACAGTCCTCTCCCTCATCTGTTTCAATGCAGTATACATTATTTATCCCCTCTTTTCTTAGTTCCCCTAACCCTGATGTCAGTCCTGCTTTACAACAAGGGCATTATGCAGTATTTGTCCCTTTTTAACTGAGATATTTCATTAATCATAATGTCCTCCAGGGTCACCCATTTTGTGTATTTCATGAGTTCCTTGTTTTTTCAATGCCGCATGGTACTCCACTGTGTAAATATGCTACAGCTTCTCTATCCATTTGTTTATTGATGGGCACTTGGGGTTGTTTCCAACTCTCTGCTATTGTGAACAAAGCCACAATAAACATGGGAGTGCACAGCAATATCTTTTAAAAATAAAAAAAGCTGTATAAATGGCCAATAAGAACATGAAGATAGTCAACATCAGTAGTCTTCAGAGAAATGGAAAGCAAAGTCAAACCCTCTGAGTTGGAAACAGTGAAAAAGATAACATGCTTGAGAGGGCCAAGGACCCAGGTCAGAGGTAGGAAAGGTTGGGGCAGGAGGAAGGAAACGGGAAACACGGGAGGAAGAGCCATGAGCAGCTTTCATAGTGGGAACTCCAATCAATAACATGAAACACAAATGTAGAATACGTTGGATGGAAAATTGAGTTAGTCTGTAAACCTTCACCTAATCCACAACAAAAAGTTTTGAAAAATATTGAAGAAGATGGGAAGAAATTGTAATCCTCATATACGACCGGTAAGAATCTAATATGGTATTGTCCCGGTGGGAAAGTCTGGTAATTCCTCAACAGATTATGCAGAGTCACATGACCCATCAATTCCACTCCTACTTACATACCCGAGAGAAATGAAAACATGTCTACAGAAAAAAAAGTCTGTACATAAATGTTTGTAGCATTATTCTTAATTGCTAAAAAGTGGAACTAATTCAACTGTCTATCAGCTGATGAGTAGATAAAAACAGTAATATTACCATACAGCGAAATAAAATTTAATAAGAAAAAAAGATGAAAATAATGATACATGCTACAACACTGAGGGGCCCTAATACACATTATGCTGAGTGATTAGTCAGTCACAGTAGGCCAGACTGTGGATGAAATAGGCCATACTGTCTATGAAATGGCCAGAACAGACAAATCTATGCAGAAATAATGCACATTAGCATGTTTGACCTGAGCTGAAGGAGATGAGTAACTTGGAGGGTGAAAGAGAAAGAATATGCAATTTATTTTAAAGGCGGTGAAAATATTCTTAAACTGATAGAGGGGATAACTGCACAATGCTAAGAAAATATTAAAAGCTTTAAAATGGGTGAATTGTAAGGTATATTAATTTTATCTCAAAGTTATTACAAAAGAGAAAATTTTTAACCTGATCCTAGAATCCTCTCCAAGTTTTAATTACATTGAAAACTTCTAAATTATTTTTAACAAGCCTGGGTTGCAAAATGTGTCAGGCTGCTAACCCAAGCCACCGGCCACTCCAAGGGAGAAAAATGGGCAGTTTCCTCCTATAAACATTTACAAGCTTAATGTCAGGTCATTGTGAGTCAGAAATAAATTGATGACAGTGAGTTAATTTATTTTTACTTGGTTTAGAAATCAACTCAAAACTTAACTTATTGTCAGATCAGAATTAACTCACAGCTTACCCTCCAGTGAGTTTTCAGAGGCTATAAATCTCACGAGAGGAGGTTTCCTATCTTTTTCATTTGGAACAGCAAGTGGATTTGAACTGTGAGCTTTTGAATTGGCAACACAACTGCTTTCCTATGAGGCCACATTCCCAGGAATTGGTCAGTTTTGATATCTGAGTTCACATATATCCCACCTTCATGTCTTAAGAAAGCCTAATAGTGTTTTTAATTCAGGGGAAATGTATTCATTTATTATCCTGATGATAATTTCACCAGGAAGGTGAGGAGCTTTCAGCTTTAAGACTGTCAGTCATCTCTAGGATTTGGTTTCAAACACCACAGAAGGAAGGTAAAACCCTGGAAGGGGACGGAGAGTGGAAGGAAAATTCTGACAGATACTCAGAGTGTCTCAGCTGACTGTGTGAGAGCCATTCTACTGCCCTCTGCTTTTGGGTCTGTTGGAAAATTTCTTATACTTTTAAAAAAATGAGAATGTGGCCATGAAGTATCTCTAATTATAGTTCTATTTTTAAATTCCAAATTTTAAAAATGAAAAACAAGAAGTCTTACTTTCGAGCGGTTTGAATCCTTTTCTCTTTGACTATCAGGTCCTTCGTAGGTATTTTCCATTAAAAGCTTCTTCAGCTTCTTTAATTTAGGTCTACATCTTCTTAATTCCCAGTAATTGTTAGAAAATCCAAAGATCTAGAAATGATAAAAATATTAGTGCCTCTTGGGGACCCTGCAAAAAGAAAAGTTCATCTAAGATTCCAACAATCCTAACTGCTCTCAACAGAAAGCAGGAAAAGAGAGCCAATGTGTTCTCCTGTCTGTTGAGAAGACATCTACCCAGGCATCTCACGTTGATGGACACACATCTTCGGGGAACAGTCTTTCTAACTTCAGTTAAGAAAATACTGCGTTGAGAAAGAATACTGCCTTCGAATAAATGCAGCACTCAGGAGCAATGATTTGGAAAAATACTACACAACTTGGGAGAGACTGGAGAGCATTATGCTAAGTGAACTAACGCAGCCTCATAAGGACAAGTACTGCAGAAGACCCTTATTGTAAAACTAGAAGGATAACTAGTTAAATGTGTACGGGGACCCAAGGGAGGAAGGTGTGGGGGTAGAGGTGAAGATGGGTAGGGGCGAAGTCACAGGGTTACACAATTTGGTGGGTGGAGGGAGGGAGTAAAGGAAATGGGAAAGAACTGGTGAGGACCTGAAAAAACATAATAATGAAGGCAATATCCAATGGCGATTAATTTTATAAAACATAATGAAAGGGAATGATTGTGTGAAACACAGTGTGAAATAATTGTAAGAATAATGTGGAACTCAATGTATACAAACTTTGTAAGCAAATCAACATACAAGAAAAAAAACCCACCACCAAAATAAATTGACTAAATAAAAAGTATTCCTTTAATAATAAGAAAAACAGTTAGATGTAACTAGCAAGGAATTTCTGCCTTAGTAACTATACTCTTTTACGGAGTTAACAACTATCTATATGGGATCAATGGAGATTTGGCAATACTGTGATTAAAGCATATGAGATGATAATCAAAAGGATAGAAGTTCGAACCCAACAACACCTCTAAGGGATAAAGATGAGGCAGTTTGTTTCCATCAAATTCGTGGCTTCAGAAATCTTTTGGGGCAGGTCTGCTGGGTCTTACAGGGCCACCAAGTATCAGATGGGTGGTGGTAATGCTGCAAACCAGTGGAAAACATCTGAAAGCGAGTACTTCTAGGGTTAAAACAGAAAATAAAGAAAAGCCATCTCCAAAGTCTTCAAACAATGAAGGATGCTACAGAAAGGAAGGAGGCGTGGCTTACTCTGTGTTGCTGGGCATCACTATATAAACCAAGGGTGAGGAAGACTGATTTTCATTCAGTGTCAAGAACTTTCTGACACTTAGAACTGCATCTAATTCAAGTAAGGAAATTGTAAAACGGTGAGAATCATATCCTAGAATCACAGCTGACAGAGACTAGATGCTGGCGAGCGATCTGAATGTTTCTCAGGTTCTCCAGGACCAGCACAGTGCCTGGCATCTAACAGGGACTCAATAAAGCGTTTTGTGAAATAAAGACATAAAGCTGAACTGGATCACCTTTGGTGGCTGCTGAGTACCATTCGGCTCATAGCTGGCCCTCCAGCTGGTTTTTAGAAGCTGTAAATTGTACAGGAGGAGAATGCCCATCTTTCTCCCACACAGAAGCTGGTGGATTCAAACCATGTTCCTTTGGGTTGGCAGTGCAAATCCTTACCACCAGAGCTCCCTCAGCATGACCTCAGAGGTGCCTCTCATTTCAACAATAGAACTACAGAGGGTGTGTCGATTCTCAAACTAGTTTATATTGGTGGGCAAGAGACAGCCCTGAGTCTGGAAAAAATGCTGTTGAGTTTATGGTCAACAAAGGAGACTTTATAAAGAGCAGCCCAGAAATGTTTATTCCATGCTTGCAAACCAGCAGTCCTCTGATCACATCCAACCAACACAAAGATAACAGCATTTACTTGTGCTCATTTTTGTGAGGAAGGAAGAAAGGGTCTGATATCAAGTTTAACTGTCAACACTGAAAATTTCAATGATTTCACTTAAAAAAAAATCAATCTAAATTTCAAGCTTTCTTTGGAAAAAAAAAAAGAAAATCTGGCAATACTAAGTTCACTTTCCTACAGAACAACTAAGTAGGGACAGCCCTTTGTACCACCAGCTGACACAGTGGCAATGGGTTCGGTGTGTCACAGACAGTGAGGCTGGCTCAGGATAGGGCAAGGTTCAAAGCCACTGTTCGTAGGCTCAACTCGACGGCACATCTCAACAGCAACGCTGCTGAGACCAGGGATCCTCTATTGACCAAGCCCGGCCTGCCTCATCGCTTGCTGTCACTGCTGGCTACTGTCAGGTCAGCTCTGACACGTGGTCAGGCCACGAACGACAAGAGAAAGCATCACCTCACTTGCGTCATCTTTCAAATCACGGTTCTGCTTGCGTCCGCTGCTGTTGTCACTGCGTTTTGGGCCCTTCCAGCCCATGAAGTGCATCTTTCACCATTATATCAGACAATTCTCTGCTGTGATCCAGAGGACTTTCACATCCGATGTTCAAAAGCAGGTCACCCGAGCCCTTCTTCTAGTCTTAGTCTGGAAGTGCTGTGACTCTGGTGTCATGTGAAAGATCAGAGGCAAAGCTCCCAAGCAGCACAGAAACATACAAGCCGGCAGAGGATGGAACAAGACTGAGGACATGCGGTGGCCTGCCTTCTTCACCTAAGCATTATTGGCATCTGATGTGCACCCAGGGATTTGGACCTCAATGAGTGAATCTTTGCCTGGCTTTGCCTAGTCTCGAGGCATGCAGTTCACGTAACACAAACACGAGCTCAAAAGCACTCAAGGAAATGGTTTAATCTTGATCAAAAATAGGTTAGTGATAGAAAACATCAGGACCTTTTTACAGAAGAATGAACTGTTATATGTGTCAATATGTAAGTATACTGAATAACTTCTTGCTGTGTGGATTCCTACTCAAACTGACCCCAAGGAACAGAGCAGGACTGCTACTCGGCCTCAGATGCACAGGGCGGGTCTGAACTGCCAGGCTTGCATGTAATTACTGGGCCACAAGGGCTCCTGGAAAGACACAATCTTATAAAAGCCAAAGCCCAACATTTACGGGAAGATCTCTTCTTAACATCAGGAACATCACTGAAGCTTCCAAGACTTGTCCCGTCTTTTCTCACGACTGTATTTTTAAGGAAGTACCCAACCAGAAGTCATTCTGAAATAATAAAGGAGGAAGCTCTGCTTTGATTGTTATGTAACAACCAACCTAGACAGGATGGAGCCATCTGCATTCTCCAAAATAATTAAGAAGCTGTTTCACTTGGCTATAGACACCTTCATGAACAGAACCAACTTCAAAGATGAGAGCCACAATCCCCTAAACACTCAAATGTCTTCCTTTCCCTGCCTCATAAACGTTACCCAATGTGCCAGTTATGGTTTGAGGGAGTCTCCCCTCAAAACAGTCCAAGAAATTCACTAAAAATAGGTAAAACTTTCACATTGAGTCACCGAGTAGCAAAGCCCCTGCTTTACAGAAAATGATCAACTCGCCTGGGACTTAAAATCGAAGTGGGCAAGCTGAGATAATGGCACAAGACATTCCCATAAACAAAGAAAAATTGCGGAGACAGTCAAGAGCTTTTAGAGTCCCCACGATTGTGCCCGTCATGCTTACACTTTAACTAAAGGCAGTATTGGCACATGGGTTGTTATTCTCATGAGCATCAGGAGACAGAAAATACTACCTCAGTGTGAATAATGTCGCAGTGTGTTTCTTCAGTCTTCAGCTGGTCTGGGGTTTTACAACCAGGAATAAAAAGCAACATGTTTGAAGTGTCTGCTATTTTCAAGTCGTAGGTTTTATCTTTGCTGCACAGCACAGCATGCTCATCTTTGTCACCACGAATCACAAGACTGCAGGAAAAGAAAAGAAGAAAGCATACGACCGGTTAAGCTTCCGCCGGACAACTTCAAAGAAAGTCGGCTGGTGCCAGGACGAAGCACTTGGTTGCCAACTGAAAGGACTGTGGATGCCAAGGTCTGCCTCTGTAAAGGTTTACAACCCTGGAAAGCCAAAAGGCAATTCTACTCAGTCCTGTAAAGTCTCATTGAGTTCGAACTGACTCCACAACAGTGGGTTCAATGTCTTCATCAGCATCAATGCCAAGAAGTCTACAGCCTTGAAAAGCAATCCGTTTAGAAAACAGCAGAGCATACAAATGACCAGAAGACCAACAAACATATGAAGAAATGTTCATAATTATTAGCTATTGGAAAGAGGCAAATCAAAACCGCAATGAGATACCACCTTACTCTTCCGTTAACAATCTTGTTGGTCACATGCCATCAAGTCAACCACAACTCAGGGACCCTCCGAAGAAGAGCTCAGAAGCCTGCTCCATCCTGTGCCATCCTCCTCATCTCCACCATGCTCAGGCTGTAAATTTAAGTCCTGAAGTGGCACCTGGGCCCTCCTCCTCTCACAGCCCTTAAACAAAGAAGGGTTTCCAAAATAGGAGCTGAATGATGACACAGCAGAACTTCAGACCTCTGGTTAGCAGCCCAGCACATAACTCGCAAGACCACCAGGGCCCCTTTCCTTTAGGTTTAATCACTACACGTCTTGCCTCTTATTCGGGTAAAACAAACCACTACAATTTAGAAGCCTCTAACACTGACCCTCCAGTGGGTATTCAAAGTCTGTAAACTGCAGGGAAGGAGACTGCCCATCCTTCCCCCAAGGAGCAGCTGGTGGAGTC